GAACTCGACAGGGGAAGCAAACACAGACATCACAACACGGAGCTTTACAGGCATTCTGGCTACGCATCACTCATTCACCAATGGGTAATGTTTAGATGGATTTTAGGAACTTCCCCTCGATTCTATTGGTTCTAACGGTTAGAAAGAGATGTCAATCATCAAAATCGAACGAGGAGGGCCGGAGATATGGCAAATCCATCCAAATGACCCCAGAAGTGTTTTTTTTTTGCTAAATCTCTCCTAAAAAGGTCAAATGTCACTTGTTTCGCATCAATCTTGATACAGGGTACTTAGGCCTATTATATGTTATAGTTTGGATTCCTAAAGCTTTTAGTCTACTATCCCATCATTCAAGGCTGGTTTTCACTGTAAGTAATGGGTTTTTTTTGGACAGAAACTATCATTTACATTTTTTTACTATGTTCAATCTGAATTTACTATAAAATAAAAACATTCTATATTGATTCTGACTTTTCTACATCCAACTCAAAGGTTTATCATTGCTTTGCGAAAAAAGATTATTAACTTACCCCTTTTTAGAAGTGAAGTTATAGTCATTTGTTCTGGGAATGTCATTTTCGAGCCTGAGACCTGAAAAACAGGCCCAGGGCTTAACAGGTTAAAGTGATCATTTAAATAAAATAAAAAGTTTAGAACTTAAAAATGAAACTACTTGCTATTGCTAAGGCAAGAAGAGTCACAACCTTGGTTAGACTCCCAAGGTCACAGACTTAATGATGATTTAGATACAATCTGATTCGCACTACATTGTACAACTTTAAATCTGTACAATTCTGTTTAAATGTCTTGTTTTCAATTTTCAGAGTCATCCCAGGTCCAAGCTGACACAGCTATGATCACAAAACAAGAACTCCAGACCCTGCGCTCAGACTTTGATTCACTGAGTTCGGACCTGGCACTGAGAATGGAGTTGACCTCCGAACTGGAAATCCAAGTTCAAAACTTAGAGACCAAACTTCAAGCAACAGAGGAGCAGGCACAGGGTGCAGCGCATAAGCTGAGCATCGCTGTGAAGGAAAAGAAAGTCGCTGCTGACCAGGTTTGAGCAAAGAAATTGTAGAATTAATGCCACTTAAATAATAAATGACAAGTTTACACTTCAAAGATACTAATACCATGTTCTAATTGTAGTTGTTCCAGCTGTCAGAAGAGAGGGAGACCTTAACTCAGCAGCTGCAAACAGCTAAGTTCCAGCTTACTGATGTGATGGAGATGATGGAAGGACTAGAGATGGCCAAAGGTAAATATCTCTCTGCATGTGAGCGATTAACTTCATCATACTAGATTATTTACGGATCTTAAACATCAGTCCTCAACAAGGTGCTAAATGTTAAATACATTTCGTTGTGAGTGCCTGCAATTAAAGAGCAACCGTAGTTTGTGTTCATGTGTTTAGGAGCAGCTTACACTTCCCTGCACAGAAAGGGAATGTGCAGGCTTTAAGGTCTGTTCTTTGTAACTGCGTGTTGGTATTGATTAGACACTTTCCTCGGTTCTGTAGGTGGTTGGGACGAGAAATTCCTTCAGCAGGAGAGTGAGCTGAGGAGGGTTCGCTCTGAGAAAGCTAACCTGGAGCAGCACATCCTGGGCATGGAGTCTGAGCTGGAGACCCTGCAGGGGCAGAGGAGCAAACTGGGGACTGAGATGGAGACGCAGAGGAGGACATGTTCAGGCATGGAGCAGCAGATAGAAACTCTCAGGACAGAGGTGAGCACTCGTCAAGAGCTAAAACAACATTGTGTTTCTTAAGCCTACTGATCCATTAGTGTTGCATTACTATTCTCAATCCTTCATTTTCTCCAGACAAGCCAGCTCAGGTCTGAACTTGTGTCCTGCACCGAGGAGCGTGACGACCTGAACCAGTCCATGGGCCAATGGAGAGACAAAGTTCACAACCTGGAGAACACGAACTGTGACACCAGAAACCTAATCTCCATCCTGGAGGATGACATCAGAGCAGGGAGGAAGGAGTATGAAGTCCTTCAAAGCAGCATGGAGAAACTGAAGACTGAGAGGCAGCAGGTATTTTTTACTTCAGGATTCCTGCATATACCCTGCTGGTAGCATTTAAGTAAATTCCACTAAGTCTGTCATCTTGTTAGGTTGGCTTCATCAGGCCAGAGGCACAAACTCCAGATGGGTATCTTGACCTTGTGTTTGTTTTCTTCTCATATTTGAAGCTGCTGGATCAGGTTAAGGCACTGGAGCAGGCAATATCCCATCAGAGTGGAGAAAGAGATGAGCTGATCGGGAAGCTGGACCAAATCCAAGAAGATCACACATCAGCCGATAACAACACGGAGTCCATGTTCGGCAAGATACAGGTGAGGGGCTGTTGCTTGTTGTGTCTAAGTTTCCTCATTATCAAAAAGCTTGCTATCTTAGGTTTTATGTTTTCAAAGCATTATCAATTAGATTTAAGTTTAGATTACATACACCAAAATACCCCCTAATTGTTACTCCTCTTTCTCCTAAAGGCGTTACAGGGAGAAGTGTGCCGCCTCTCACAGTCTCTGGAGTCTTCTCTTCTGGAAAAGGGAGAGATTGCCTCTCGCCTGAACTCGACACAAGAGGAGGTCCAGCAGATGAGGACTGGGATTGAAAAGCTGCAGGTTCGCATCGAGTCAGACGAGAGGAAGAAAAAGAAGATGGGAGAGATGCTCAAAGGTGACTCTTAAAATCTTTGAAATGACAAAACCTATTTAGTTGTGTGAGGTGGTGTCTGTGTGAGGTGGTGTCTGTATGGGGTGGTGTCTGTGTGAGGTGGTGTCTGTGTGGGGTGGTGTCTGTGTGAGGTGGTGTCTGTGAGGTGGTGTCTGTGTGAGGTGGTGTCTGTGTGAGGTGGTGTCTGTGTGAGGTGGTGTCTGTGTGGGGTGGTGTCTGTGTGAGGTGGTGTCTGTGTGGAGGTGGTGTCTGTGTGGGGTGGTGTCTGTGAGGTGGTGTCTGTGAGTTGTGAGAGGTGGTGTCTGTGTGAGGTGGTGTCTGTGTGAGGTGGTGTCTGTGTGGAGGTGGTGTCTGTGAGGTGGTGTCTGTGTGAGGTGGTGTCTGTGTGGGGTGGTGTCTGTGTGAGGTGGTGTCTGTGTGGGGTGGTGTCTGTGAGTTGTGTGAGGTGGGGTGGTGTCTGTGTGAGGTGGTGTCGGTCTAACTGTGTTGATTTACCCCTCTAGCTGCCCAGAGGAAATCTGACTCGCTGCAAGATCGCATTGCTGTCCTGGAGCGAGAGAAGGAAGACCAAGAGGAGAGTCTAGAGGAGGCTGTGCTTCAGGTAGTCTCAAACATGCATATGTTTAAAAAATAACCACTGCATCCTTCTTGCATTGTAATGTCTCAATGTAACCATTGTATGGAAGAAAGTCACATGTGAGGATGTTTGGTAAAATGCCAACATTTGCTTAGTAGTAGTAGAACCTTTATTCAGCTAGGAAAATCAATTAAGAACAAATTCTTATTTTCAATGATGACTTGACAGCAGGCAAAAGGCTTCCTGAGGGGATGGGGGTTGGGAGGAAGAAAATAAAAAGACAGACTCCTGGCACTACAGAACCCAGGAGATGACCCAGAGCAGAGATAACAGGCATAGCAGTTAAACATATCTAAAATAATACTGCTGGAGTTCAATCAGTCATTAAACCTATATAGAACATTCATCCATTCATTCATCCATTCCTTCCTTCATGGCAATGCATACTATAGGAGAGGTCAAGACATTAGTTTGTGTTAAATGAATGTTTGATGTTCCTACACAGGCTGAGACAGCCACAGCTGAGCTGGAGGAGGAAAGGATAAAGGTATATTCACTTTCATTAGCGTTTGGCTTAATGTTGGCCTTTCTCATGTATCTATACGTTCTCAATACCAAACAATATATTAATCCGATGTCTCGTTTATTTTCTCTTATGCTGCTTTTTCCCTTTCCATCCTGATTTTCTTCTCCTCCTTTCTGAACCCTGCTGCTGTCTGTCTGTCTTTGACCTTCCCCTCCTCCAGGTAGAGGAGGAGAAGAGGGAACTCACCGAGAAACTTTCCGAGCTGTCTGCCACACTGGACGACCTGAGATCAGAGAAAGAACACATGGAGAGAGAGCTGGAGACAAAGAACAGAGAGATAGAAGAACTGAAGTCCGCTAAGGAGCAGCTGGAGAGAGGGTTGGAGAAGGCAGAGGTGGAGAGAAGAGAGGGAGAGGAAAGGCAGAAAGGGCTGGAGAAAGGAATGAGAGAGGAAGCCGAGCTGCAAACAAAGAACATGGACGACCTCCAGGCACAGCTGGAGGCCTCCCAGCAGAGAGAGGCCTCCCTGGAGCAAAGGGGTGCAGACACAGAAGGGGAGAGAGAGAGGCTGCAGTCTCTGCTGGTGGAGATGGAGAAAGAGAAATCCTGCCTGCACACTTCTCTGGAGGAGTGGGAGACGGAGAGTAACAACCTGAGGAACAGTATTAAGGCTTTAGAGGAAGAAATAAAAGAGCTCCAAACACAGATTAAAGAACAAGAGAGGGAAATGCTGGAGAGGGAGGACGCTTCAGCAAAATCCATCCAGGAGGAAGTGCTCTCGACTCTGTCTTCAGTGGAACAAGAGAGAGATCATCTGCAGTGCACTCTTGCATCTGTAGAAGGAGAGAAAGAAAGGCTGGAGCAAGAGAGGGGGGTGTTAGCTGAAGAGAAAGAAAAGCTACAGGCTGACCTCTCATTGATCGAAAAGGAGACGCAACAAACGCTATCTTCATTGAAGGAAAGAACAGAGCAGGAGAAACTAAAGATCGATGGGGAAAAACAAGAACTGCAGTCTTCCCTTTCTTCGATTGAAGTCGAGAAGAATAACCTGTCCTCGGCTCTTTCCTCCCTGGAACAAGAGAAGGAGACACTCGCAGGAGAACAAGAGACTCTTCAGTCTACAGTTGCCTCGATGGAGAAGGAGTTGGAAGAGTCCAAAGAGTGTGCAGCAAAGCTCAATGAGCAGGTACACACACACACACACACACACACACACACACACACACACACACACACACACACACACACACACACACACTGTAGTGGCTTTTTAACTTTATCCATACGTAAGCCACTGAGGGATGGGAACGGGAGAACTAAGTTTGGACGCGTGTTCCAGATGACAAAACAATATCCATACGAGTGTATATCTTTCAATCCATCGATCCATTTATTTTGTTCTCCATATGGCCTTTCTGTTACCATTCAGATACCAATAGATGCACGCCAGTCACGCTGAATACAAACAGGTTTAACACACAGCTCATATTAACACGGCTTCTGCCGACACGGTCGAAAACTCTTTGCTTCCGTCCCACACACCTGATCACCCAGTGATTACATTTATATACACACACAAGTGAATACTCCATCTTGTGTAGAAAGTTGGAACTGCATCATTAATTAAACGTCCAGATAAAATACAGACACATGCATTATGGCTCCAACACACACACACACACACACACACACACACACACACACACACACACACACACCTGCTTTTTTCAACCTGGGCTCACCTCGGTTATTCTTTGAATTCTTACCACCAGAATAAAAACTGTGTGTGTGTGTGTGTGTGTGTGTGTGTGTGTGTGTGTGTGTGTGTGTGTGTGTGTGTGTGT